TTGTGTCAGGGGTCCCCAAGACTACCTCCAAGTTTGGTGATTCTCTGGGAGGACTTGTAGGACTTAGCGTATTGTCATACTTACAGCTATGATTTATTATAATGAAAGGATACAAAGCACAATCAGCAAAGGGAAAAGGTGCATGGGATGAAATCCAGAGGAACCAGGCACAAGCCTCCAAAAGTCCTCTTCAAGTGGAGTCACATAGTACAGGCTTAATTTCCTCCAGCAACTAATTGTGACAACAGGTGTGAAATGTTATCTACCAGGGAAGCTCATTATAGATTCAGTGCCTAGAGTTTTTATTGGGGGTGGGACATATGTACCCTTTGCCTAGCATGTACTAACATTCCAGACTTATAGAGGGAAACTAGGTGTTCAGCATAAGCCACATTGTGCAAACAGTTTAGACATGGTGAGTCATTCTTATGATTTCTGGGAATGGTAGGAGCCCTCTTGAAATTCAAGTTCCCAGACACCAGCCAAGGGTCAAACAGCCACTTGCAAACAGGCCTTTCTATGGATAGCAGTCTCAAGCCAGTCTTAACCATTTTCTCCACAATATTGGTACTTAATGTGATCCCATAAAGTGGGGAAGTGGCCTTGGGTTGTTGGGAAAAGGGGGTAGTGTGAGTGTAGGAATGAGGGGGAGGTGAAGAGGGTGGGTTTTTGCGTCCCTCACAATATTGGTACTTAATGTGATCCCATAAAGTGGGGAAGTGGCCTTGGGTTGTTGGGAAATGGGGGTAGTGTGAGTGTAGGAATGAGGGGGAGGTGAAGAGGGTGGGTTTTTGCGTCCCTCTCTTCCCACTTTTCTCTTTAATAAGTTGAGGATTCCATGAGGAAAAAGGTGTTGCTATTAAAATCAAATTTAAAAACCACTCCTTTAAACAATGAGATGACATATTTCAAGCAAAAGATTGATAAAATCACATTTGGATTTCAGCAAGATCACATTTGCATTTCAGCAAGATTTCCTGGAAGATCATCCCTGAAGTTGGTGGAAGATATTTTAGAGATCGTGGTAGTGGTAATGTTACCAAACTCGGGTCCGGCTGCCTGCCACCTTGAGAAGGAAAAAAAACCCCTCAGAAGTCAAGTGGTTAGTGTTAGAAAAGCAGATGTATTCAGCTGACGGAGATGGTAGGCTATCCCATCTCAAAGATTTAGATTTACTAAGGGGTTTTTAAAGGAGGGGTTGAGGGCTTGGAATGTGGGAGGTGAAAAGCAGGGGAGAAGGAGACATGACCTACAAGGGGTCCGTGTCTATGGGTCAGGTACAAGGTCTTGCCAAGATCTTGTCTGCTTTCTGTTTTCATCTTTGCTGTTATCTCAGGACCTTGCAAGATTTTGACTTGTGCCCATGAACTTGGCTGGTGACCAAGGTCAGCTTCCGGTCATTTTGCCTTGATCATTTTGATAAGTGTCAAAGAACTGTTAGCTTTGCAGAGTACTAATTAGCTTCTTCGACTGTTTTCCTACTTAGCAAGCAACATAAGAAAGTCAGGGGATAGGAAGAAAGAGTGGGAGAAAAAAACTGTCCTTTTAAAAATCCCCCCTCCCCTCCACAGCCCAGGAAGTTTTAGGTCCCAGCATGGCTTCAGTCCAGCTCACTCAAGAAAGTCAGGGGATAGGAAGAAAGAGTGGGAGAAAAAAACTGTCCTTTTAAAAATCCCCCTCCCCTCCACAGCCCAGGAAGTTTTAGGTCCCAGCATGGCTTCAGTCCAGCTCACTGCAACAGTAAATTTGGGGCAGTGGAGGCAATCAGAGGTAGGAAGGCTACTGTGATAGCCTAAGCCAGAGATAAGGAGAGCCCACGCTGGGGTGGTAGTATGAGGAAGGAAAGGATGGAATGGATTAGGGAGTATTTAGGATATAAAATTGAGTAGCATTGATGATTGATTGGCTGACAACCTGGTTGAAGGCTGAGGAAAGGTGTTGTGGGATAAGGGGAAGAAATTAGTATTATTCTGAGGTTTCTTACTTGGTTGACTCTAGAAAATTAAAAGATGAGATGAAAAAGCATTTTTCTATGGGTTGTGAGATTCTCAAATCCTCTGACACCAACTGGGTGTCCATCAGTTCAATTCAATTCTGACACTATCTACCTGGAGTAAGCATCAAATCTCATGAGTCAAGAGGCTCAGTCCCCCAAAATGCTCCCCCCTTCAGATGCCAGCTGCAAATGGGGTGCCCAGGCTATGCACATGTGTGCCTGCTGACTAAATTTGGAGATTGTCATAACTTTCCTCTCCCTCAGATTCCTGAGTTTTCATAGAACTCAGGAAAACACTTTGCTTATGTTTACTGGTATATTAAGAAGTATACAACTCAGGAACAGCCAAATGGAAGAGATGCAAAAGGCAAGGTATGGGGCAAGGTATAGGGGGTGGGGCAAGGTGTGTCACTCTCCCAGCACCTAAATGTGTTCACCAACCCAAAAGCTCTTCAGTCTGTTTAAAGAGTGTTGATAGAGCTCATCTCCAGCCCCACCTCCCTGCCTAGGTGTTGGTGGGTGGAGCCGAAAGTTCCAGCCTTTTAATCACTTGGTCTTTCTGGCAATCAGCCCTGTCCTGAGGTCATCTAAGGGCCCCACTCTAGAATCAACTCATTTGCATACAACCAGATGTGTTGCAAAGGGCTCATTATGAGTAATAAAAGACACCCCTGTCATTCAGGGAATTCTAAGGGTTTAGGGAACTCTGTGCCAAGAACCAGGTACAAAGACCAAATATATTTCTTATTATGCCACACTAGCAGATATCTCAAATTGCTGGAAGCCTTTAGGGAACTCTCAACCTATGCCTTCAGCTTCAACATTGAATCCAAGCCTCATCCTTGGTCCTGGCAGGCCCCAGTCTTTCTGGAGACCCTTAGATTCTCTTTTGCAGGCCTTAGGTACCCTGTATTAGTTAGGGTACCACTTAGGCTTCTGTAACAGAGACCTTAAAATACGCTGCTTTAAAAGCAAGATAGAAGTTTAACATTCTTTTACATAAAAATCCAGGTTGTTGGTACAGAGCTGGTTTGGCAGCTCAGCATTATTGGAGAATGAGGCTCCGTGTACCTTGTGTCTCTGCTTTAGTCAACATTCTGTGTGCATCTCCTTGGCTCTTCCAACAGTGGTCATTGCACTTTCACTCCAGTTAGAGGGAGGGGAGGGGAGGGAAGCTGGGAGGATATGTCCTTTTGTTACCAAACTCACGGGGCTGGCTGCCTGTCACCAGACAAAAACAAACAAACAAAAGTAAAATGTTTGTGAAAATGGAAGTCAGCTTTTATTCAGAAATACCAGTGATCTGAGAAGTGATATTAAGCTAACCCATCTGTCCAGTAAACCTGAAGGAGAATGGCCAGGCTAAAGCCATCTCAAAAACTCAGGTTTACAGAGGGATTTTTAAAGAGGTGGATGAGGGAATGGAATGTGGGATATGAAAAGCAGGTGGGAGGGACACATGAGCAGTGAGGGCTTCATGCATGGTCTCAGGTCTGAGGTGCAAAGTCTTGCCAAGACTCTGGTTTCTGCTCCTGTCCTTGTTATCTCATAGTCCTGCGGAGGGGTGGAATCAGCATAGCTTTATCGATGTCTTCCTTGGTTTCTTTGGCTAGTATGTGCAAGTCTGCAGCTCCAGATTGACATTCATGTAAATGTCGTCTTGCCCCATAACCAAGGTTCAAAATATCAAATAACCATGGGAAATGAGGGAACTCAGAGAAATGCATTTCAAGAAAAAAAAACTGTCCTTTTAAAATTTGCCTACAGCCCAGGCAGTTTTAGGTCCCAACATGACTTCAGTCCTGTTCACTCTGACACTTTCCCTTTAATGGTGTATACCAGAACCACACACATTTCTACTTACATCCCATTCGTTAGAACCTGGTCACATGGCCATACCTGACTGCAAGGGAGGCCAGGAAATGTAATATGTAACCAGGCAGCCATGCACCCAGCTAAAACTCCTATTCAGCAAGGGTGGACAGATAATAGAAGACAACCCTGCCCTATCACCAACATTCATAATATATTTATGGATTTTTTTTCCCCTCTTTTTGGAAAAAGGTGGAAATAACATTTTGACTGTTAATTCTTTTTGCTAAAGTAATTTTCATATTATTGGAACAAATGAAACATGATATTCAATGAAACAAGTGAAATGCTGCTAAAGTACCTTTGAGAAACCTTGTTCTGAAAAATGTGCTGGGTTGCTGCTGTTTATTGTTGCTTCTAAAAAATAGAGAGGGAGCTACCTGCTCATTAAATCTCCCCCAGATAAGGAATGGAATTATGATGGGACCTCACACAGACAATTATTTCTCTTTCAGGAGAGGCTAAAAAAAGATCAGAACAACACCCTTGTGTCCCATCTGTCTGGGTTTAACCCCCTAAAGGTTATGGAAAAGGGAAGAAATCTCACAAGCTGAGGGCTGAAATTGATGTGGTGATATTTGAATGTTGTGTTGTTTTGGGGTGGAAAACCCTTCATGTCTAATCTGTAAGTGTCTGCCTTGTTGCTTAAGTACCAGAAATAGGACTACCTCAAAGAAAGGCAGCACTCCTGCTTTTGGGAAGGAGTTGATGAACCCAGGCAGCTGTTTAGTGGACTGGATGCAAAGCAGAGACTCTGTAGCTCGTTATGCTACCGAGGGTTACAGTGATAGTTTATGGCTTGTGTCCTGTTATTAAAATGAAACATTTATGAATATATTCCTTGTATAAAATGTGGTTTATATTATTATTTTTATCAAAATGATATTTACAAAACTATGCAAATAGATACAATTGTAACTGATTAAAAGTCTGAATGTAACCCTTAAGAAACATATGTAGAGCGGTATGAAATATCTTCATTTAAGAAAGTCTGAAAGGTTATATATGGCTGGCCGGATGGCTCAGTTAGTTAGAGTGTGGTGCTTATAACACCAAGGTCCAGGGTTTGATCCCTGTACTGGCCAGTTGCCAATAAAATAAAATAAAATTTTATGTGTGTTTTTGTGTGTAGCCTATACAGTTCAGACACGCGAGAGTATGACCCCAACTGCTGCTTCAGAAGCTTATTGGAAAGCTTTGGCTGTTTGCCATGGACCTCTGGACCACTATGACTTTCTGATCAAAGCCCACGAACTAAAGGATGATGAACATCAAAGAAGAGTCATACAGTGTTTGCAGAAATTACACGAGGACCTTAAAGGATACAGTATAGAGGCAGAAGGCCTTTTTTCAAAGGTGAGGTTTGTGTGCTATTAAAAATTGAACAGTTAAAAGTGTAAGCATTTTGTAAAATGGATTCGATGCAGTGGGGTACAATCATGAAACAGCTTGACACGTTTCTACCAGTTCCATCAAACAAACTCTGTTGGTTCCCCATTTCTGACCTCTTGATGTTTGATAGCTTTCTTTTGCCTTCAGGGATTCAAACAGCTTCAGATTTAGTGACTGGAAAATACAGTCCAGTCTAAATGAAAACTTCCATGTAATTCAAAGCTTTCCCCTTCCCCTAGCTCGGGTCTCACCCAGGGATCAGCAGTGGAGAAGGGTGTGATTTGTTCTTCCTCTTTTCCTCCTCCTCTCTCTGCTTGCCTGGCCTCTCTAGGGTCAATGAGAGGGATAAAAGGTTAGAGTGAAAGAGCAGAGTCTTAAGTGACCAGTGAGCTGTTGGGGCCTGTGTGTGGTAGGAGCTGACATGCTAGCTATTTGTTGAGGGGCACATTGGGGAGTTCTTCAGGACTCCCCTGGGGACCTCCACACTGCTCCATTCTTTGACTGCCCCTTATGACTCTAGAGAAGCACCTTAAAACCCACGCGTCCTGTTGGGACCCCCTTGCCCTTACACTTAATCTTCTTAGGTGGGGTCCTTTCAGGGTCACCCAGCTCTTGCTGGGTCATGTTTTATGGTGTCTACTTAGGCCACAGGAAGCATAACGTCTCCTTTCTCCAACCGCTGCTGCGTGGGCAGCTTCAGAAGCATAACGTCAGCCTCCTGCCCTCGGACTTCTGCAGGCAAGAAGCAGGCACCAGTCTCTATATTTGTCCTGTATACCATTTATTTTCCTGGGGACACATGTCAAGTTCTTCAATGAACTCTTCCACACTCTGCTCTGGTAGCTGCCTGTGGATTTCCTTCCCCAAGCAAGCATCCAGCTGGGGAGAGGGATGCCCATTTTACACTCAGCCCCGATCTCTTTGGATGCTTCTCTTGGGCACTCCTCATGCTCAGCGTGACGTGTCTGGGGGATGCCACAGCACTCCGTACTCAGCTCACGACTGTTTACCTTGATCACTCTCTCCACTTTCACTGTGGTTTAGGGCTCTTTTTAAAGTAATTTCTGTGTGGATGTGACTAGTGCCTCTCTTTACAGTGTGGGGGTAACTTGTCTTCCCATGTCCCTAGCTTTGAGCTTTTGCTGAAATTCTGTGACAACAGGAAAACTCCCATTCCTTGTCCATTATAGAAGCCAATGTCATTAGTGGTGTCATCTTTAAATGATGCAGGATAATAACAACAGTAAGAATTGGAATATGATTCAACCTAAGAAACTAGTTTTCCTTTAATTGACTGCCCCCTCTGCCTGCAATATTGTTTTATTGTAAGTTCTTTAGAAGAAGGCACTGTATAACATACGTTAGTAGTACTTTATTAAAAAAAAACTCTAATGAAAGTTGTTTTACTTTTTAAAAAGCACTTGGGAGTATACTTAAATAGTTTTATTTTTTATATAAGGAAAAAGGCTGCCATTGTGTTTACACTTTTGGTTAAAAGGAATAGAGATTCATTTAGGTTACAGAAAGAAATAGAGATTTTAAATAAGATTACACGTGAAAATAGCAATTGCGGGGCACCTCTGTTATATAGCCAGGTCTCATGGTGCCCTGCCATTCGTGTAATCCACAACTTAGTCCACTTGGGCTGCCATAACAGAATACCATAAACTGGGTGGTGGCTTATAAACAACAGAAAATTATTTCTCACAGTTCTGGAGGCTGAGAAACCCAAGATCAAGGTGTCAGCAAATTCAGTGTTTGGTGAAGGCCTGCTTACCTGTTCATGGACAGCCATCTCTTCACTGTGTCCCCACGTGGCCAAAGAGACAAATGCACTCCCTTGGGCCTCTTATATAAGGGCACTAATCCCACTCATGAGAGCTCTGCCTCCCAAAGGTCCTACTTCCTAATACCATCAGGGGCGGGTGTGTGTGTGTGGGGGGGGCAAATTTAGGATTTCGATATATGAATTTAAGGGGGACACAAACATTGAGACCATATCATCCACTTACTCTTGTTCCATTTCCTTCATGTCCCTCATGTTTCCACTTTTGTTTGTTTTACTAACTTCTTAATTCCCTCCTAGTACCTGTGGTTTAAATTCCTGAGTAAGAATCTGATAGGCCAGCCAATCACTTCATCCCTGTTTGGGCAGAGCTTTCACACCAGGTTTTTCAGAGGCTACAAGCCAGCATAAAGATTGGATCTCTGCTTAAGGATCCAGGGCTGCTCCCGTGAGGATGGCAGTTTTTCTCAGAAGGACTGTCACTGTGGCAGGCACCATAATTGACCAGTCCAGTGCAGTGGTTATAGGAAATAATGGTGAATTATCCTTTTTGATGACCAACTTCTTCCCATATGTCCAAAATTTTATAGGTAAGTAAAGACCTAAAAAGTGAAAAACATAGACTGTTTATGTACTGCATATCTAATTATAGTTTGTGATACTGGTGGGCTCCCAAATAACTTGGTTATGTGGCATGGCCAGGAAACAACATGTTTTACTAACTGGATTTTTTGATTATCTGAAAGTTAAATTGCTTTCATGAATTTTGTATCTTGTTCCCTTTTTAGTCCTCTCCCTTCTGGAAATACAGTACTTTTTTCCCTCCTCCCCTCTTGTAGCATCCCTTGGGCTCATCTTATGGTGGTTGGTTTATGTCTGTGCAGTCATAAATATCCTTTAATCATTAACTTACCTGGTTGTCAATTCAACAGGGTTTGGTTTTTTGTTTTTGATTTTTTAGTTTAATTTAATTTTTTTTAGTGGCTGGCCAGTATGGGGATCCAAACTCTTGACTTTCGTTGTTATATATAACACTGCACTCTAACCAGCTGAACTAACAGGCTAGCCCTTCAACAGGGTTTTTGGGTTTTTTTCCTTATAATCATCAGCTCTTCTTAGGGATATTCTCCCACACTTCCACCTTTGATTTCTGAGTTGACTCTGGTGGGCCAGCCTAATGAATAACCCTAGTTTTATTATGTAGTTGTAATCTTATGTAAATAGAAGATTTGAGACTTCAGGTGGCATTTCAAAGGTGTCTGAGGAAAGGTCATATCTGTTAAATCCTAATGCATATGCAAATAAATGTGTAGTAGATAGAGCAACATCTCTTTGTGATAGTATTTGTTCTGTAGTTTCTTAAGCCCACCAAATCTTTAAAACATTGAAAAAGATCCAAACATGTAATATAATATGAGGAAAACATATATAGCCCACCAAATCTTTAAAACATTGAAAAAGATCCAAACATGTAATATAATATGAGGAAAACGTATAAAAAACTTTAGTTCTTGAAGATTATAAAGATATCACAAACATATTTCTTCTAAAAATAAACGTTGATAATGCCCATTATCAGAGAAGGAAAACTTGGCCTACTAGTTTTTTTCCCAGTGATAGAAGAACTTTATTTGTAGAGTTCTTAATTCTGTTAATTCTGGTAAATAGGATTTATGATTTTATGAACTTCTGATTTTTTTTTTTTTTTTTTTTTTTTTTTTGGTGGCTGGCCAGTACATGTATGATTTTTGTTTTTTGTTTTTTATTTTTTTTATTTTTGGCCATTGGTTGTATGGGGATCTGAACCCTTGGCCTTTGTGTTATATTACTGCACTCTAACCAGCTGAGCTGATCGGTGAGCCCTTATTTGGTTTTTAAT